GTGGGAATTGCATCCCGAGGTGCTCCGCGACATCTTGCAATGGGGTTTTCCCAAGGTGGACTTGTTCGCCACTCGACACAACAGGAAATGTCCTAAGTATTGCTCACGAGCAGGCATCAGCATGGACTCTTCTCGGGAATGCCTTCCTCCTGGACTGGGATCGTCACCGATTGCTATACGCCTTTCCTCCTCTTCCACTCATTCTGAGGGTTCTAATGAAGATAGCACTGGGCGGCGCAACAGTGGTCGTTGCTTGCATCACACAGTGTTACGCATTGTGCAACAAATCTCTTCCGAGCGGTCTGCGTGCTCATTCCATCCGGGACATAGCAACATCCGTGGCCTATCTTCATGGAGTACCGTTGCAGGACATATGCTGTGCGGCAACCTGGTCGTCTACCCTCACATTCACTAAACACTATGCCCTTGCGAACATACTTACCTCCGATTCGAGGGTAGCCCAGGCTGTCTTGTCTACAGCCTGAAGGCGATAGGTCCGAAGCACTCATGTATCGTTGGATCACTGCTGTGTACTAACCTCGAGTGGAGCACCCTCGGGGACGCTACTCGATGAAGAAAAGAGAGTTACTCACCTGGTGCAGTAACGTCTGTTCTTTGAGATGTGTGTCCCCGTGGGTGCTCCACGTCCCACCCTCCTCCCTGCTTCGTAGCTTCTATTTATGTCTTTCAGATGCTTCCGGTTGGGAGGAAACTGACAAGACCGGACCGCGCTCAGATGAAAGGTGCAAAGGGGCACTCGCGCATGCGCGGTCCGGTAGGGGGGCTACTGCTAGTGAAAATTCCTCTGGTTTGCGGCGCCGGGATGAGCCCAGCACCTCGAGTGGAGCGTGGAGCACCCACGGGGACACACATCTCGAAGAACAGACGTTACTGCACCAGGTGAGTAACTCTCTTTTATCTATCTCTTGGTTGGAGAATGAAGTGCTGTCAATTGAAGTGGAAAGGAAGAAGAAGAACAGAGATTGAGAACTTAATTTAAAATCAGCAGCTCCCTTCCTTTGGGTCCACTGTGAATCTGTTTACTTTCTTTGGGGTTACTGGTGGCTGTTGTCAGAGGATTGACCTCATAGACTTGAACTGCTTTTATTTTATCAGAGAAGAACCTCTTCCACTTGTTTTACATCGGGTACTCCTATTCAAAGCCATCGGTGAAGAAATATTCGCATTCACAGCTCTTTCTTTCTTTTTAATTGTAGCTCTGTGGCATTTTCTGGTGTCATGCAAGTGGAATTCATATTGACCAAGCACTCAGGTTTCAAGCACTGACTAACATATTAATCAGATGAAAACAATTATATTTCTACTTCCTCTGAAGAAAAAGGAAGAATTCAATTGAAAGATGATCTTGTGTAAAGAATGTGCCTGCTGAAGTGACATAAAAGTAATAGAACATGATAGGCTGTGCATGTCTGGGAGAGTTTTGCATGTTCTGGATGCACTGTGACATAAGAGGTTAAAGGCCAAGTGTTGTAGATTTTCCTTTTACAGTAATCCCTCAGTTATGCACTGCCTTAAGTGTCCTATTGCTAAAAATTAAAAGGAAAAAGAGAGTCTGCTTGTTTGAATGATTTACCTTTGCAGTCTGTTCAGAAAGTGTCATTCGGATCTAGAGCTCTGATCCCATTTGTAATTATAAATCAGGTTCACGTTAGAAGGACATTTCTTTTGAACATTGCCATCTTTTACAACATTGAGATTTTAGGGTGAACCACGTTGTGTCTCAGTGATAGACTGCATGTGGTCACGGCTCTCTGAAATAGGAGCAAAGTCTTGTGCTTACGGAGCAGGTTAATAGCTGAGGTTTAGATTACAGTTCAGGGAAGATTTTTGTATCCCACACTAACAGTTAAGGAATACCATCATCTGTTCCATCAGCACTCAGAAATAATGTGTATTTTTAAGTGTATTTGACTTGAATGACTATGTAAACCATGAATAAGAGATCCAATGAAAAACTAATATTGCCAGAACTGTTACTGGAAGACATTCTGAGTGAAGCAACACCTCATGAACCAGAAACCAGTATTTGCCTTCTAACAAACAGTATTTACTTCCTGGTTTTTTTTCAT